GCCCCCGGGCGCGGCCCAGGCCGTGTACAGTATCTACCGCGAGCGTGCGGGCGTCGCCGCCGCCCAGGGCCACCGCAGCCCGACGCCCCGCAGCGCCCCCGGGAGCTGGGGTCGCCAGAGCACCGCCAGCTCCCTGGTGGGCTCCTCTTTGAGCGCCTTCGCGCTGCTGCCTTTGCCCGGGGACCGCGACGCGGCCGGGGCGAGCGCGAGCGACTGCGGGCCGAAGCAGTCCGGGGAGCGTGGCTCTCCGGAGCTCCCGCGGGACGAACTTGACCAGAGCCTGACCGACCTCGGGGCGCCCGGCGGGGCGGAGCAGCCCGAGAGCACGGGGGCGGGGCGCAGCTCCGGGTTGCCAGGCGGCCGCCTGCCCAGGACCGGCAGGTCCGCCGCCCCGCGGCGCCGCAGCACCAGCGGGCTCCCGGACGCCCGGGCGCCCCCTTCTCCGGAGCCTCCGCCCTCGCCCGGCGCTGCGGAACTGGACGCGAGCCCGTCGGCCAAATCCGCCTCCCCGTCGCCTCCCCTCCAGCTGCAGGACCTGCTCCTGGCCCGGCGGTCCTCCCAGAGCTCCCAGTCAGAAGAGCCTTCCAGCAGCAATAAGGGCTACACCCAGCTACGGGAGACTGGCACCTCCTCCGAGTCGGTGGTGGACGCCGGGGCCAGGGAGAGCCAAGAGGATGTGGGCACCGGCGCTCCGGGGGTGGAGCGGAGCGCCCCGGAGGAGCCCAGCGCCAAGCCGCCCACCACAGAGCCACCGCAGCCGCTCCACAGGCAGTTCACCAACAAGGAGAAACTCTTCCTGATTTCCGGGTCCCACGCCCCAGGAGCTGAAGATGGAGAATTGGAGAGCACTAACATTTAGGGAAAGAGTGAGGCCTGGGAGCAGAGACCCAGGGAAGAACGCTGAGGAAGCATCACTTGAATCTGGTGGTTGAAAGTCCCCCTTGTCCTTGGGGGCCTATCCGAGGAAACCATCCAATATTGACCCAAAGAGCTGCAGAATGTTGTCCTTGACTTGCGTTCACAAGACTTCTGTAGATAACTCCAAGCAATTTCAAAACAAAACAACACAGCAAACTAGTCTTTTATGTCCGATGGTGATTGTACGTTCCATGAAAACCAAATGTATTAAAAGGTCAGCAATCGAGATAAAATTATCTTAATTTTCTTAGGATCAAAAGAATATATTTTTGACAGTAACTTGTGCACTTTACTCCAACTTTTATTTTTGATCCTGAAAACCCTCCACCTCTGTACTCTGCTTCTGGCTTTGGGCTTAGCTACTTGGGAATGACAAGCTTTATTCCTCCTTCCCTTTGGGAGAGCAGAGAGGCTTGTCTCAGTCCTCTGAGAACTGGTCTTACTGAAGGAAGTCAAAGCCAAAAGCATGAGTATGTCTGGATGCATCTCTTGCCCGCTCCTCGCCCCTAACCCACTCCATTCTCACAAGGCCCAAAGACTTCTTTATTTTTTAAAAGGGGGATTTGCCTTTTGCTACTAGGGGTATTTTGTGGAGACTACAGGGGACCAGAATCTAGAAAGACTGTTATATTCCTACATTCACAATATCAAATACATGATGCTTTATTGAGTATTATCTTACCTGTATTGAAAAATAGCATTAATATTAAAAGTATTTTTAATAAAAAAGTTTCCAAAGAGTTAAAACGTCAAATTGCCTCATTTTGCCTTGAAATCATGCTTCTGAAGCACATTTAAAATGTAACAGTTCAGTTGGTAAACCTAAAATGGTTTTCCTGTGATATTGCCTCCATGTGCTCTGTTCCAGCATCACTCGAGCCATTTTTAATATTTTTTTCTGTTCACTTTATAACTGCAGTAGTGTAAGGAGCCCTGGTGATGGAGTGAGTCACAGGTTGGGCTGCCAACAGAAGGGTAGGTGTTCGACCCAGTTACTCCGCAGGAGAACTAGGAGGCTTTCTGCTCCCATAGAGATACACAGTGTCGAAACCCCACTGGGCAGTCCTATTCTGCCCTAGGGATTGTCATGAGTCAGGATCAACTGGATGACAGTGAACTTGGTTAGCTTTTGGTATTTACTACTTGGAATTTTCTCCTTCAAATAAAATGAAAACATTAGAAAAATAAAACATCTAGTTTACCTAAAAGTGTTCATTGACAGAGCCCTGGGCTTATCACCCCACCCTCTGTGTTGGCCATTTGATTTGAAGTTTATCCTTGTGAATCCATACACTCCATATGCTGGACGGCAGTGTTCAGATCGCTGAGGAGCTCAGAGATCCTTACAGTTGGTTTTAGGTTTAGGCATGCCTTTTCTCAAGGACTATATGTATACAGCTAGATGACAGTGCTGATGCCTTCTTCCTCCATGAGCAGGGGGCCCTTTTCTTAGGACAGTGGGGAGTCACTTTCTCTAGCTAATTGCAGCTGAGGTTCTCTGTGCAGGAGGTCGAAATGCGAATTTGAAGGGAAAGTCCTGGGAAATAGGTGGTGATGGTGGTCCCCTTAGGTAAAAGCAGCGAGCCTTGTAGAAAGGGTGCACATTCAGAACTGAGACTGAACCCCGCTCTTGGCCTTTGCTAACTGTGTAGCTTTGAATAAGCCACAAACTCTAGCTCTCGGTGATTGTGTCTGAAAAATAGAGCTACCGCATCATACAGACTTCATAGACTAATGTCAGAAATGAAGCTGAGCCGGAGCCACATGTCATCTGCATGTTGTAAAGGAAAGGGTCTTCCTTCCCTCAACTGAAGGCCAAGAAAGCCTAGGCTAAAATCTGGATGGAATATCCACTTATCTGCATAACCAGACAAATCACTTTTATCCCCTTAGGCCTCCGTTGGAGACTAATCTCTAGGATCCCTTCAGCCCGAAAAAGCCTTACTTCAGTCCGGGTGCATGCACATCCGGACACGACTTTCAAAAGAAAGAGCACACATTGCAAACTCTCATTTAGTGTAACATTTTGTCCTTAATAGGATCAAGTTTTCTTCTGCCCACTCCCACCCCGGGTGGGGGGGGGGGTCCTCTAAGAAGCCATGGTGGTCTCCTGAATATGTGTGGCCTTGCTAACCATGGGTGGGTCAGCATTTCAAACCCACCAGCTCTTCTGAGGGAGAAGCATGAGGCAATCTGCTCTTATAAAGATGTAATGTTTGGAAATCCCAAGAGGACAGTTCTACCCTGTTCGGTAGGGTGACTGTGAGTTGGAATTGACGCCGTGGTAGTGAATTCGGTTAGATTTGGGGGGTGGTTTGGTGTGGAAATCAACTAGGTGGCAGTGAGTGTCTCACATAAGTTGGAGGCAATTTGATGGCTGCAGGTTGGACATTCTAGTTGATCAAAAAGGTGAGTTTCTGGCCTCACAGAAACCACCAGCTTTCCTTATGCCACCAGGGCAAGTGTTAACTTACTGACCAGTTATCGTTCCTGTTATTATTATTACCACGTAATGTGGAGTTGGTTCCCACTCGGCAAGCCCATCTGAGTAAGTAGAACTTCATAAAGGGGTCTTCCCAGCTGTAAGCTCTTACAGGAGCCGATCGCCAGATCTTTCTCCCGTGAAGCCTCTGGGTGGATTGAGAACAACCAACTGTGCTGTCATCAGCCAAGCACATAACATTTACACCACCGCGGCCTAGGTAGTACCACATGTCATCAGTCCCAATTTCTTTACCACACCTTCCAAAAATTCAAATCCCCTAGGTTTCCACCCGTCAACACCCCTATTTCCGTGCACATTGGATAATTCATATGCAGAAGATGCTTCCTTCTTGGCTACTGAGTTAACTCGGCATCATAGCAAACACGCCTGTGGGTTTCTGAGGCTGCAAATGTTTACGGCAGTAGAAACCCCCAGGCATCTCCCACGGAGCAGCTAACGGGTCAAACCGCTGACCTGGCTGTGAGCAGCCCATGCAGAAGCCACTCTGCCACCAGGACACCTTTGCTGAAAATACCGATGAGCTATCAAAAACAAACAGAAAGAAAAGATGTTCTAAATTGCTACTTTTATCCATAGAAAATTTATATCGTTTAACAAATAATGAAACCATTCTCTACTCGATAAAGTGGAGAAGACAGAATATTGTTTATCCCTTAACACTTTAAAAATTCCCGGAAGTGTATTGCCCAGGATGCCTAATGGTGTCTTGGTTGAGTGCTGCTGGTAACCAAACTGTCAGCAGTGAGAAGCCACCGACTTCTCCGGAGAAAGAGAGGATCACTCTCCTTCGGTGCACAGTTACAGTCTTGGGAACCCTGTGGGCCAGGTAGTTCTACTCTGCTCTACAGGGTCAATATGAATCAGAATCAACATGATGGCCATAGGTTAGGTTCTATGGTTTTGTTAGTTGTAATGCCTCTTTATATTAATCAGCTTAAATAAAAACTTCCATTTCACATGGACCTCCACACACTTGAGATTATGTACCTGATCAAACAAATTAGCTCAGTATTAAATACTATCTATCTTAACCACTGAGCAATTTAACTGGATTTTTTTCCCCAAGAAGTTGAATTTTCCAAATTGAGAGGAACTAGGGCTTCTATCAGACCTCAGAGGATTGCAACCATGAGCCCAGTCACTCACCGCCTTCCCTCTCACAGGAGCAGATGGTCCATAGGCAATGGTAATGCTGACTTTCCACTGTCACGTTCTGTTCGCTATGATGTCGGTAGATATATACGATCCTAATTATCCCCTCAGGATCCCTTTGAGATAAGACGATGATTATCTCCATCTGACCGAGGAAGACACTAAGGTCAGGAGAATGGCATGCTTGCCCAGCGTTACACAGCCCATGCGTGGTGGAGCCGGCACTTACAGAGAATGTGGAGGATTGTCTGGGCTTGGTGGCAGATGTTGAGTAGAAATTGGCATGTCTGGAGATCATCAAAATACGTCCTACCCTCTTAGCATACTTGTCCTTTCCCAGAACCAGTTCTTAGAAATGTTCAAAGAAGTTGCGACGCTCAAGGAAAAGAGCTGGGGTCAACTTTTAAGTCTTCTCTGTGCTTAAGCAAGTGTGTTTTCCCAGTTTGCTTTGTTGTATTCCCCTGTGTGACTGACTGTGTGTGACTTTCACTATGTGAAGTGATCCGAGAGCTTGTTGGTGGGAGAAAGCGGAGACTGCACCTGCAAAGATTTCCAGCTGCGAGAACTCTAGAGATCAGTTCTCCTCTGCCCTTTAGGGTCCCTACGAGTCGGGATGGATGTGATAGCAATGCATTAGAGATCACGGGGTCCCTACCTCCTTATTTATAGCTGTGGTTGCTGAGACGTGGACAGATGAGGTAACTTGTTCAAAGGTATGCAGCCATAGTAGGACTCGAGCATTAATCGCAACAACTGGCATGAGTGGTTTTTGTTATTGGTTTTTATCCTGAATTTCTGTCATGTGGTCATGGAGTGATCATGGGCAATCTACTTAGACTTTACATCTCAACTTCTTTTGTCCTTATGATGGGAATACTAGGGTCCCACCTCATGGGACGGATCGAACAGTAAATGAATTTACGTGTAAGGGCTTAAGCAGGCTTGATGCATACAATGCTATAAAACATTTATTCATGTTATTTAAAACAAAATCGAGTGCTTAACAGATAGCATCACTTCCTACGGCTTTCTTTTTTTTATTAACCAAATTTTGGGGGTTAAACATCTAAACTGAACATATTCATAGTTCAGTGTGTGAGGTCCCTGATTGTTACTGTGCTCTTTGGAGGAGTTGCTTACCACTGTACCTGGGTTTCTACCTCTGCAAACTGGAGATAAAAATAATAAACATTATCTGACCCATAAAGTTAACCAGTTACGTAAAGACTGCATAAATTAACATGCCTAAAGAACTTAAAATAATTCCTGGCTTGCATAAACAGTAAATGTTAATGGCTACTATTAAGGCAAAATGCCGAGAAGTAGTCAGCTAAATTTACCACTCAATTGTTAGGGAAAAGGCTAAACATACTGTACTAAAACATTTTTATAATTTAGGTTTATCATAAAGCAATAGATCTTCAAAAACTAGGCCCCCAGCTGTTGGAAGGCTCTCTGATAGGAAAGAGATAAGCAGGCATAAGATGTGTGCACACATCCCTCCCCTCATGATGCTACAGAGCAAAGGAGGAGTACCCACACGGCCTTATGGGACCACCATTAGCCACCAGCAGCCTGCTCTTCCTTACGGAGTGAGCTGTCATCAGAGGAGGGCCACCCGGGAGAAGAATGTGATGAAGACCACTGTGAAGAGCAGCTGTCATCTGACTTATTTAACTTGTCTTAACCGACATAGTGTCCAGACTCGTGTTCTCCCTAGTCATGTCAGCTTCTTTTTACTTTAGAAATCAAGTGTTGAATTTGATTTGAACTTGAAAATATGTTTTAAAACTCCCTTCCCTAATGGGAAAGGAGTACAAGCTTAGCATTTGTATTTTGATCAGAGTAGTGGTTTTGTTGGGATATGAAAGAATATAGAAATACATTTTATAGTCAAGCAATTTATAAATAAGATATTCTGTGTTTAAAATTGGAGTTTAAGGGTTGCTATTTTGAGGATTCATGACAAATAGTATTAATAATTACAGGGTTTATTTGCATAGGACCAAGCTGCTTTATTATTATTATTATTTGGCTAAAAATCACTGAGTAAAAATTTAAACTATGGTTTTGAACGATTAG